AGTAGAACTTGCTTATTTTAAAAACTACTGTAAGATCAAATATGAATCTGGGAAGTTTGGCAAGAATTACAGCAGTGTAAGGAAATGAATGCCTATGGTGTAAATCTAAATGATGGGCTGTAGAAAACATCTTCCTGTGTATAATGAAACTGCAGAGTTGCCATCTCTTCCCATATGCCTTAACTCCCATCAAGTACTTAGTCTGTAGAATCAGCCTGGTTTGTAACTACATAAAAAGTGGTGCGTTTTGGTGTTGGGTCCCCCCCCCCTTTTTTTAACTTAAAATAAGCCTAAAATGAGAAACACAACTAGGATATTCACGAATTTTCAGAAATGCTTTTCTTACACAAATAATCTGTCCGTGACCTATCTTGTTATGTACATTTTTCTATTATTCCATAACTAGTGACTGCTACATCAGCAGTCCTAGAAAACAAGTTATTTTATTTACCCACTGGGAAGTTTTGTAAAGCTCCTTACTTTCTTACACCACCTTTGCCTTAGTTCCAAAAGCAGAAATGGGTGATTTTTTTAAAATTGCAAGGTATCAATTAGTTGTTCCAGTGCTCAGAGCTGGTGTCCAAAGAGCCCCAGGATGTTCAGGCTTCCAACAAGCACCACAGACCTGTATTTGTAGATGTGAGCAGTGCTGTGCTGTGACACAGGTTGAGTGCAGCAACAGTGTATACTGAAATAAGAAAAGTTTGGCGTTTCTGTCAAGTATATTTAAAAAAGAAATATCTTTTGTGCAATAAGTGATTCCTATGTTTGCACATGCCCATTATAATTACCTAAGTAAACTGCTATTTTGATTAATATTAACTTGAACAAATAACTGCAGCAACTACTTTGCATAATATAATATTCATTCACAAATTCTAGATTAATTTCAAAAGCCTAAATTTTAAAATGTCTTCCTGTGATGAAAATATTGAGACTTTTGGTAGGATTCCTTCAACTTTCTATTTAAAGCCAATCCTTTATCCACAGAAGATAATTTAGCTGTTCAAAACTAAAAAATGATGAAAGAATTACTAGCCATTGTGACATACAGATTTAATTTACAAAATGTTTCACCCTCCTTAAAAAGGAATATGGCTACTTACCCCATAAAGTTTTTTTTCTCCTTTTTTAAAGAGCTTGAATTTTCCACTTTTCAAGTATGTACCTAACTTCACAGTTTTGATAATGTCTCCCTTCATCGGAGGAAAATATTTGATAAACTAGAACAGTATTGAATAGTATACTTAAAGCCATTGATGCCAACATTCAGTTTTGGAAAAAGAGGACGGTAATTAAAAATGCATCCTTAGAAATCACTGTTCTTCCCACATGCATAAACACGAGCAAACTCCGTGTACATGTGCACACACATGTGTGTTGGCGGCCGGGTAATGAACACAGTCAACATTAGAATCTGGCTTTTAAAAATCACGCCATTTGCTTTCACATCAAAAATGCAAACCTACAGATAATCTAGTTACATTCTCTGGGTGGCTATTTACCTTTAGCTACAACTTTGTGAATATTCTGCACCATATACTACTCTTACACTCCTGAGTCCGCTAAGAAGATCTTTCATGTGGCACATACGGGTCCACCCAGATGACCATACAATGAACTTAAAACACCATCATTGATCTTACTAATTGCATCTGCCACTTTACATGGTTCTTGTTTCTACCCAGCTTTCTTTCCAAACATGGTTCCAATTCTTAAATGGTCAGAATACACAAAGTGACAGATTTAGTGCTTCCTTGGCAATTTATGTAACTGACTGCAACTCTGTTGTTGCAGTGAATCATGATTTATTTGTCTCGCAATGCAGCACATAACCTTTTAAATGCTAGGGAAAAAAATGCCAGCGCTTCTTTAAAGTTTATATATGACTGCCCACCACCATTCCTGATGAACGGGGTTTTGAGAGACAAATGATAAAAACAAGCTGCAAATTCCACCCACCTACTCCCGGCCATTTCCTGCGTTCATCACTCATCCATACTGTATTTACAGACAAGCACCCTCACCCAGAGCACCAGTGCACTCTTCTAGACCCCTCTTTTCCTCCTGGGCAAGAATATTTTTCTTAAATTAGTGATAGGTATTCTCTGTTAAACACAGAGGAGGATAATACTGATCTCCCCCAGCCTTCTTACTGGCGCGTGCCACGCTCAGTCATGTCAGATGAGATTAAGAGCAGACTGCAGGGTTTTATTTATTGGTATCTCTCTCCAGTCCAAAATTGTGACCCCAGTGCTTGTCTGTGGCCTTTTCTCATACCCTACTCTCTATGCCTTCATCTGCACTTACTTCCATTACCTTTAAAAACCAGTTTAATGTACTCCTCCTCTTCTCCTCATTCAAATACACTGTTTTATTCTGGTATTTATATTGTGCCCGTTTCCCTGGTAAATGAACTCATTGCTGTCCACCTGAACTAGGCCAGTCAAAAGCCTTCAGAACCTTTAATTATGAAAGTGATAATGAGAGAGGAAAGATTGTTTACATTAGATGGAACAGCAGTACCTCCAATTAATGCAAACAGGACCCGCTCATTGAAAAGCTATTTATCCAACATGCTCAGCACAAAGTATTTGGATAGTTCTCCTTACATTATAATTCAATTTTAAAAATTTAGCAGGGAGAACTCAGACAGCAGATAAAATTGTTTTTCTCTCAGATGACGACTATGGAATTAGCAGTCCATTCATTAGGCTATAACACTCGCATACCACCTTTCCTTGGCAGACTTTAAAACTGTCTGCAAAAGGGCCTGCTTCTCTAAATTGTCCTAGTTTGCAGAAGGGAAAACAGGGCTGCAGAGATGAAGTGACTTTTTCTAATCATTCAGCAGATTCATGCTTGCCTGTGGCCTGCTCCTACCTGGCCTCGGACAAGCCCTCCAAAGTCCAGCCTGGTGCTCCATTTACTAAACTCCGTTCCCTGAATGTTTGCCTAGATGTTTAATAAACAAGCGAGAACATTGCTTTGCACAGTAAATATGCTTGTAAGTTGCACAAGTTACAAATCTAGACTTCAGTGTAATGTTCTCTGGATATATACCCCAAAATCTAAGCCATTTTAAATATTTGATACAGTTCTAGTGCTACACGTGGCATAGACTGCAATAGAAATTACGCCAACCAATCATGAATGAGGATCTTGAGTAAGACCATAAAATGAAACACTGGTAAATTAATACATGAAGAGGAAAGGATAATTTATAGAATAGCAGTTGAATAATAAAGAATGGAGATGACAAGTGCTTAAGCTGTGTTGATGCACCTCATCCTGATCAGGTGGGGCAAAATTACACAAGTCCTTTTTCTACCAGATTGTGATATTTTTCTATAATGCAAACAAATGTTAACTAAAAGGAGAAATGCTTCCCTTGGCCATCCTGAGTTTTGTGGGTCAGTGCAAAACAAAGATCAAGAATTTTGTTACAAACATTTCCATTTGGTTTGGACAATGATGGTAAAACCATTTAAAGTGAATGTGCTGTTATGCTTGTAAGGCAAGAGCATGTTTAGAACATTTAATTAGCCACAGAAGGTAGTTAGACTCAGTGCAGCATTTAACTTCCACATTCTGGAAAAAAACAAGGCTACAATTTAGGAAGCTACAGAAAAGTACATTTACAGATACTACACGCTTCTGAAATGTTACTGCTGTTGAAAGAGGCTGTATAAATAAATATGACTTTGACAAAATGCTAAAGTATACCTGTGTCAAGGAATTAACACCTGAAATTAAGGAAACAAGAGCAACTTTCATCTACCAGTGGTGAAGAAATAAAAAAATACTCAGCATCATGTCGCCCAGAAGGGTGATAAAGGCAAAAAACCTACAGTGGGTAAACAAATAAAAGAGCCAAAAGAAACACCTTCCCCCACCTCATAGCAAAAAAGCAGACACTTCCCTTTGCTGTATAAAACAAAAAGCATACATTGCAGACTGTCACATTTATGCATACAGCTGCCACATTCTCTAATGGGTCAAAGCAAGTTCTTATGACAACAAATAATTTTGCTTTATCATGCTACCTTCAATCACTATTTTTCTGAGTTTTGGGAACTCGGAGTACAATTTGGAAGGCACTAGTAGAAACAAAGAAATTTCTCTATGCTAGCAGTCCACAATAACAAAAAACAAGGAATAAACCCAGTGTAACATGTGTTCCAACAACAGGGAATTGATGCAACTACATTATTCCCAACAAAGATATTTTATGACAATCTTTAAAAAGTTCTGAAACCAAATTCTGGCTTGGGACAAACAGGCACAACTTCTATTGAAGTTGATGCCCCTCACATAAAATGGAATACTGCAATACAAATTCAGCAAAATCAATACTTAAGTTTCAAAGAAAAACTCTACCTTACAGGTTGAAAGCAGCCACTTGTAATCATATTTAAATGGCTAATATCGTAAGTTCAAAGTACATGAACCAGTTCCACTGTTTTAAGTGAAAGAGCTGTCAACTCACTAAGAAAGGTAGGCTACTGAAACAGAAAAATGAAAAATTATTCTAGTTTAGCTATATTTTACTCTAGGTTGATCAAACTTCCATTTTTACAGGAACAGTCACAAAAAAGCCACTTATACTGCTGTCATTTTTGCTTAATATAATTTTGGCTGATCCAAACAGTATTCTCAAAACCCAGCCAGAGACAAGAATAACTTTGCAGACCCAATATTTATGATACCTTCTATAAAGCAAGATGCTATATACAAATTGGCAGTCAGGTGCACTAATACACAATGAAAACATAACATGTAAAAAACTAATAAAACCAAACACACATCTTCTGGCCCCTCCTGCATATCCAGTAGGAGTGAAAAAGTGAGTGTTTCTCAGGGGAAAGTAAATATTAGCAGCAGTGATGACTTAAGCATTATCATTTCCTAGAGTTTAACAACTGGTTTCATTTCAGAGGAAACACAGTGCATCATTATCATTATTACTCAAATAAATAAATGATCATCCATAATCTTACCTAGTTCTGGGGGCAGCACAGTAAGACGATTTCCCTGGATATGAAGTTCCTTAAGCTGAGTGAGCTCACCAATTTCTTTAGGCAGTGATATCAGGTCATTGTCTCTAAGACTCAGCTAAGAGTGAATATAAAGTAGTCAGAACAATTTTCGGTTTCCATAAAGCAGCCTAAACCAGAACTCTACTCCTTCTGCCCCCACCTTTCTCCTAAAAACTCAGTTCTTCCAATTTATTTACAAGTGTCTGCTAGTAAACAAGAAACAGTTCCAGGTGTAGTGGTATATTCCTGCAAGCATACCCTACTACTCCTCAAATTGACTAGATTCTATTCCTACAAGCATTGCAAAAGTGAATTGATTTTCCAAGAATTTAGATAAATTACTTACTATCTGCAACTTTGTGAGCTTCCCAATATCTGGCGGCAGGATTTCAAAATCGTTGTCACTTAGATAGAGTGCACGCAGGGTGGCTGCAAATTAAATAGCAATATATAAACAGGGTGGCATATAACCAAACCATTTGAGGTCTAATCAATAAAAGGGAGTCAGGTTTGATTAATAACCCTGACTCGGTGAAAAGCCTTTGACATACCCAGGGCTCACAATAATAACAAGCAGGTTAAACTTAGATTTACTGGCTTATTGTATTGTTGGCGAGTTCAGGAAAACGTCTATACTCAAAAGGACCAGCACAATTAACAATTTCTGCAATAGTATACTCTGGCAGGTTCTGGCATACAGTCTTAATGCTCAGCTGTCAGAATACAGTCATTACTCTTTATTACCCCCGATTCTTATTCATTATATCAATTTGCATCCTCAACAAACATAAAAAAAAAATTATCTGAGTTTTTTGGACAACTACACATCTATGTTAAGCTCTATAGAAAGCACAGCCTAACACTGGGAAAGAGACCTTGAAAGAGAGCAATACAGAAGACTCAAATTGTGTAATTTGTAATTTCCATGCTTAGTCTCTATGAATTTCACAGAAGAAGAGATGACCCAGCACAACCATGTAGCTTGCTATTATTGAACAAGCATAGATGACAGTTTAGAAAAAAAAAAAACAATAGAAAATGGAGACTCACAAAGAACTGTTGGGTGCAGCGGGAAGGAAGGTGGTCAGGTCAGCAAAAACTCTCCTCCCCACCAGAGAGGGGATCCCATTTCTCTTACGCAGTCTTCTCCTCCTCCTCTTTTCATTACATGTGACCATTTTTAATAATGCTGACTTAAAAATTTCCCTTTGCCAGGTTACAATCACAAAACCTCTCAGACAGCGGCACTCCTTCCTCTCCCCTCACCTGTCACTTTTGCTGCTAAATGCACTGATCCCGAAGTCACTTCAGCATCATACACTGAAAAGACCACTAAAGTAGCAGAATCACTGAAATCCAGAAAGTGCCAGAATTCAAGTTGCTTAGGCAACCATAGTGCAGCCCTTTTGCACATATGCATTACAATACCTTTATTTTAACTCTCTGAGTGTGTATTTTTAACGTGTGCGAAGGTCAGCTTAGCTCTACCATTCCTGTACCAAGCTGTGTAACCTTAGCATATTTTTAACATACTGGTCACTTCGACATCCACAAGCTGTTAAAAGTATTTCAGTAATGAACTATCAGGAACACAACTGTTTCTGGAGAGAATGCACAACAGTTGCCTTGTGAAACAAGTTTGTCTTCCCTGAGGCTCACAAGCTTCTGTGAAGTTTTAACTAAGTATGGGACCTAAGGAAATATGGCTTAGAAGAAAACTAATATACCATTACTAACCAAGTCTTCTTGTGTCCAATGGTGTCAGGTGACTGTATATCAGTGATAAATATTGCTGAGGTATGTAGAAATATTCAAGATATATTCAAAGAAAAACATAAATATCAGAAAAAAATTCTGTTGGAGTTTGGTCTCCATCAAATAAATTTCAACTGCAGAAATCAAAGCACCATATCATGAAGATTTGTAGAAGATTTAGAAAAGTTTCTTACTCAGATAGAAGAAGTTTCCTGGTAGAGAATTTTCATTTAAGTTGTTGTAAGTCAAGTCAAGAACCTCCAGAGCTGGTAAAGAGCCAAATCCCCTTGGCAAGGTGTTTAACCTGTTCATGCTGTAGGTGAAGAGGACAAAACAGAACATGACATCAGTATTCACTTCATCTGGTAGGAATAATACAGGCAACAAGAGTTTCATTCCTAAAAAACATAACCTACACCAAAATTCCCTTTCATTTTATTTTGAAAAGGGCTTGATGCTACAAGATACTGAGCAAGCCTTTTGCAACATAGACCCTTTTCAACTCCTACTCTCATAAATATGCCCAAAACTTATGCACTCGCAAGGGATCCTGTCTGTTATGTCAATCAACAGCCACACCTGAAACACGAAGCAAAAGGCAGAGAGGTGCCACAGTGCTATGCCCAGCTTAAAGTGTGCCAGTGAGCAAGCTGGTCCTTGGTGGATGATCTGTCTTCTAGGTAAACTACAAATTACCCCTTTGCACAGCATCTTTACCATCTGCCATTCCTCCATACCACATAGTTCTTCACCATGGTACCAAATACAATGAGGAGTACCTCAACTGCATGGTATTTACCTTCATTGATAATTGCTGCTCAAACCCCTTCTTAAGAACAGCAAATTTGTGTCACTAGCTAACTATTTATGCGTATGGAGCATGAGGTAAATGGAATGTCAACCCTCTGACTGATGGAGGCTTAGTTTAAATATAGCTTGTTCCACCAGTCTTAGAGGGTTTAGAATACCAGTTCCTACTGGCAAAAGCCAGAAGAAGATGGAGAAAGCTAACAGGAGAAGAAGGTTTCTCTGATAACCTGGAGCAGACAAGCTACAGAAAACGCAGTAACTTTTCTCTGACCTCAAAGAGCTTGAATGAGGGGATCCACATAATCACTAGAGCTGCTGCAATGACAAAGACAGACAAGGAGCTGGTGACAGTATTCATAGCGCCTTACTGTTTTTGTACAAGCTACAGCTCTGGCTGCTTATCACAGGAACACAAAAGAACTACCAGCCCATTATTTATACTGTCCCTAGTGTATGTACACCAAACATATAGCTTGTCTGTACGGATCTTGCTTCATTTGTCACCTGGGTTTAAAAGTGGAACAAAGACAGGCATCTTCAGGAAGAGCACGTACAGGCAGCTATTTTGAAGAACTGGATTTTATTCTTATGATGGGAAACAATCACGACCTTTCACATGTTGTCTCTAAACATATTCTTAATTTGACTCTCCTGACACAAAAGTGGTAAATAGCAACAGCTACAACTGAAGTCAGGAGAAGACAGAATGCGAATTTATGAAGAGTGATGTAATGCTAAAAACTATGAAAACTCAAGTCCAAGTATTAACAAAGTTGGGTACCCAAAAATAATGACTTTTGGCTCTATTCTCTAGGGCCTGCCTTCCCCTCCTCATGCATTGTCTGTCAAACACTGTGCTATACTATGTGATAAATACTATGAAAGACACCTATAGAACGCTTAATAAGCCCATCTTCTAAGAGTCCTTTGGACGCTGAATTAAACACAAGAGCAGCTGCACCTCCAGACTAAGCATGACAACTACACATGCAACATTTCTTTTACTAACTCTCAGATACTAATCTCACTTTTCCTCTCCCACTTTTGCATAAACCAGACCCACCAGAACAAGAACCTTCAGAGATCAGCTCTCTGTAGCTAAATTCTGAATGAAAACTTCTCCTCATCCCTGATGAGAAGTCCTACCACAGACACGCACCTCTAGTATTACTGTTGCAGTAGTAGCTATTAAAATACAGAAAGGAATTCTCCACCATTGTTCCTACAGACTTGTCATTTCTTTTACAGCTGTTCTTCATTATTAAATAGGACTAAAGAAAGCAGCTCCTTTTCCACTAGTACAAAGAGTAAAGTGCCCCAATGGCCTTCCCTTTTGCAAGCAAGGAACAGGGAGAGGAGTGTTCTCCCTATTGACAACAGGCAGAATGATATCTATTTTTTGGCATGGAAAAAGAACCAGCTGGAATTCCCTGCCCAGCACCATTACGCCTTGCAGAAGTTGAAACACTGAGCTTGTGCCACAGAAACCATGCCACACCTGCCTTTCAATTTTTATTTTTTAAGCTTTCATTGCAGCAGTACACCTTCCCTCTTCCCACCCCACTACTTGATTCTTCTGCACCAAAATCCTCCCAAAAATCATCCAGGCTCTTATTCAAGCTTCCCCTCTCCCCCAGAGGGTTGTTTTGATGCCCTGTGTGCATACATGCACTGCAGATGACAAGAGGGTTTTTGGGCTCCCCCACCACCAGCCCCAAACTATTAGAGCAGAGCAGTTTCCCCTTCGCTGATTCCAAGGACTTCTGAAGCAGAACCCATTTGCAGAACTAAACCTGTGGCTGTAAGAATACGGGTAAGGAGGGGATTAAGAAGGAAGAGCATTTAATCTACAAGATCTTGGACCACATGACACACAAAGGTGGCAACTGTGGTTCCAGACCTAAATGTCTGCTGGTCTTAACTGCAAGTGGCCTTTTGTACTACGTTAATAGAAAAAAAAAAAAAAAAAAATGTACCGGAGACCAGTACTTGAACTACAGAAACACTTGTCACTGCTTCAATCCATAGAAAGAGCCCAACTTCTTTCTCCCTCTATACACTGGAACACTTCTACATGCCATTCCAAAATATGGCTTTTAACAACCAAGGCATATAAAATGCTGCTTTTCAGAGTAAATATTAATTCATGATCAAGTCCAGGTTCAATCAGATATTAGGATGTGCTAGAGATCTAAAGTGACCAAATAAAGACCAAAGAAGACAGATCATGAAAACATTTATTGGCATTCCAACAGTTCAGGATGCAATTCAATTATCCGCACTTTACAAAAGTATCTAAAAGGAGGATACACAGAGCCTAGCCAAAATAATTTGGTATTTAAAATAGTAAAAAAAACCTCTGTTTAAGGTGTTCAGAAGTTTGAATTTATAAAATACAAGCATTCTTTCTATGAGACACGTATAAAGCTAAAGCTTTAAAGTGTAACTACTTTCCTAAGTAGTTACACTTTAATATGTCCAGTTAGTTTTGAGAAGGTTCTGTACTTCACATTTACTTTCTTAATAATTCAAGAAAGCCTTCTGCAACTGTTGTTATCATAAAGTATCACCAACTCTACTAGAATATGGTATCTAAACACTTAACAGAAATGCCCCTGGCTCAAATTCAGTCAATACTAGCTCTCTGAATTAAATGCACACCACATTTAAAGATTTGCTGCTTCTTTTACAGGTTTAATAGAAATTTAAATTTCTTTAATGCTGAATTTGGGACTTTAGAATTAAAATCCTAAATTGACACGGAAAAGTGAGTATTTGGTTGGGTGGTTTTTTTTTGTTTGGGTTTTTTTTTTTAAAAAAAACAAAGCAGAACAGAAAATAGAGCCTGACTCTTACACAGCAACCACAGAATTAAGAGACAGTTGCTAGGGAAGTAAAATTCAATAATTGTTAAGTTTGACTTCAGTATTAAATGAATGTGAGTTGCTGTTGCCCTTAAATGGTTATCTGTGTATCAGAATAAGTACCTGACCACTTAACTATCTGATTATCCAGGACACTAACTAAACACTCTGAAGCCATAATTGCCAAGTTACCATCACAAACACTTTCAAAAAGAAACTTTAATAGCAAAAAATAGGAAGTTCCAGTTTCAGTTGCGACAATGTTTGACAGCACCTCTGTTACAGCAAATTTTTGCATTAAGATACGCACCCAAGATTCAGGTGTTTGAGTTTCTGAAGGCTGCTAATCTGTGTAGGCAGCTCCTCAATCTGGTTGTTGAAAAAGTTGAGCACTTCTATGTTTCTCAGGTCTGCGATGTTTGCTGGCACAGCTGTGGAAAAGTTTTCACAGTGAGAGACTGCAATTACAGCAAGCTACCTAGACTATAGATGCTCTACTAGCACCTGTCTTTTGCTCCATTTGTACAGTGGCCGATGGTAGAAACAGCATCTAACAGCTATCGCAATAAAAGCAAAGTTTCTATCGAAGAAATCTCATATCTGGAATCTGTTCTCATTGCTGAGAGCAGTCACTTTGTACTCTTCAGAAAATTACTACCAGTATTGCAAGATTTTTTGACTAACAAAGACCATTGCAGAGAGAATGCTCTCATAGACTAACAGAGAAGCAGGGCTTCCTCTGTGTACATGTAGCACACACAGGTCTTGAAAGAGCAGAACTTAAGAGGCTCAGATCATGTCATTATTTGAGTGAAAAAAAAAAAGGGATGATACAAGTAGTTACACTAAGATAACAGTTTTATTAAGGGTCTTTAATAGCAAACATGAAATAAAAATTAATTTTTTAGCAATGGCCCATTCTGCTTACTGCTTAAGTAATCTAGTATCCAAGTTCTTGTCCATTTAAGATTCAACAAAATCTACAAAAATTTAAGTTCAGCCCTAAAAGATGAACTGTTCAGCCAAGCCCATTTTTAGTCACCTCCCATGAAGGAGTAACTGATCAATACACATACATGGTTACATTGGATTAGCAACAAATCACTACCTGGCTATTATCTAGAAACATGAAAAATAAGGCAGAAGCACGATATGAATATGCCTATGCAGATGAGGTTAAAAAGCTATTCAGATTTGCATCTTTTCCCCCTTAAACTTAGTGAGATTTAAGCAGACAGCTGAGGTTTACATAAAAGGATGTTGGCAAATCACCTGCACTGAAGCTTGCACCTGTGTTCAATATTCACCTTGGTTCAGTCTCAACTTTGACTGCATCAGGAACCCAGAGAGTGCACATCTAAATAATTAGAAGTTTTTATGAGGCCATGATTTTCTTTTATTTGTTGGCATGAGGCAATCTCAGTCTTAAAGTGGAGTCAATAATGTTTACAAAGCAGAACATTATAGTATGTCACATTTACTAGATTATAAGCTTAATTACATTGTGAACAATAACAGGATCCCTAACACTCTAATTACACTACATAAATATTACTGTTGAGGGTCATATTCATTGCAGGAGATTTTTAGCAGACTTTTTTATAAACTCATTAAGGCAAATCTGAATATTTAAAAGCCCTCCCTTTGTGGTATTTTCCAACTGGTCCATGCATATCTGTCACTCGACGGCAAGAGTTACGTGCCTTCAGAAAGTAAAGGGTAATGGACTACTACTGTTGCCTTAAACTATTCCCTAACAGAAGTTAACTGAGGATTTTAATTGATATAATTCAGCTGTTTCCAGCCTAAATATTTCACCAGAACAGTAATTACCAGTATTAAAATGTTTTCCTTTCAGAAATTAGACTTTATAATTTGACTTTGGTGAGATGCAATGGACCGGCAAACCATGTTTCTGCCTACTCAAACATATACTATATTTATGCAAGACTAGGAATCAGGAGTACTAGCAAATACAGGTTTTAGTTTAGTCAAAGCCTAAACAATACAGAGACCAAATACAATTCTCCCGAAGTTAAACCATTGATGCAATTAATAAAAATTTGGTATGAAGGTTTTGGCATTCTGACAGTGTAATCTCTTACACTCTCCTAGAAAAAATAGTGCAACTTAACATCACAAGTTATGCTAAATGCTCTATTGTGGAAACACTGAAACAAGAGCGTGACATTCAGGAGGCCAGACTTACCAAACCTACAGTCAGCTTGGCTGCCTATGTGTCAATTCTGTATTTCCATTATTGAAGGCTGAACACCATCACAAGATGATAAAGAAATTACGAAGCTATTATCCAAGACACTGAAAGTTCTCAAAGGCAACTAAAAAAAGTACATCTAACACCAAGGACAATACTATCACTACAAAGACAGGAAGCCCATAAAACTTTTTTGATCTTGCTGTGAGGTCAGACTACAGAAGCAATTTGTTAGTGCTACCCTCATGTGAGGGAAGTCAGCAATACCTGACTGACATGCATTTCGCTTGAATCGATGTTAATGGGCACCTGACATTTAGTCAGTCCTATTCACAGCAGATTTAGTTACCTAATGACCTCTTGCATCATGGAGTAACAGCAAAACTGTTCTGCATCTGTGAACAGACAACAAGATGGGGACAAGTACCCTCCAAGCAGCCTGACAGAGTCCAAACATAAGTGACATCAAAGCAAAAAGCTGGACCCAGCTACTGAGCTACTGTGATTTAGTGTATGTGTCCTTTCAAATACTTGTCCAAATCAGCTTGTTTCCCTCTTAAGAATAAATGAATTCTTAAGCTTGTACCTCACTTCTGGCTTAAGCGAGGAGACTGTGAAGGGATGAAAATCATTTCAAGGAAGAAGGGGAACAGCCCTCTTAGGAAAAAAAACACACACAAACAACAAAACAATCAGAAAAGCCCCATGAAACTACCTGGAAAACGATGACATCTAGACATCAAGATACAAAGAAAATGGTTTCCAGGGATTTGTTCATGAAGGTTACACTTACACTGAAGATCACAGCATCAAAGGGAACCCTGGTTTCAATGGGTTACTACACAGTTGAAGTTCTCTAATTGTACCTACTCATCCATTTGCAAACACGGGGCAAAAACTCCCATTGGCTATTTTATCAGAGGTTTTTAATTTGGTTTTCTTTTGTCAGAGCACGGGTGTGAGTAAGTGTCCCTAGTGAACAATAGGAGCTGTGTCCTTGCACACTGTCTACTAAGTTTCTGATATATCTGTATAATACCCATATACTGTATTTCATGTTGTGAATCACACTTTGGATACTTTATATCATTATTTTCTTCAAGCCAGATTAAAAGCTGCATGGGTAAGCAGGCTGAGATGAGAAAAGGACTAAAAAATTAGCAAAGGATTTGGATGAAATACTTTGTGTCTCATGCTGCTAAATCAAAATAAAAAGCCCCAATCCACAATTGTATTTTTTGGTTTGGATGGAAGGGCTGGAGGTATTTTGTGAGAAGGAAAAACAGAAGAGTAGCTCAAGACCAGGCTTGTGATAGGGGAGAGAGGACTTTTTCCTGTAACAGCTTATTTTCTGGTTCAACAATTCAGATTCATTTGTAATATGAATGAATGAATGCTCTCTTGGATTCAAAGAAAAACAGAAGACCAAAATTAGCTCCTATACTAGTCTTGTAGCTGAACTGCACAGCTTCAGTACCTTCAGGTCTAAAGATCAGCAGTGGTCAAGCAAGGTTGACTAGGCATATAATGTTCTCTGTTCTGAACTTTACATGACTTAAGTGCATCCCAACTACCATCCCACTGTTATGTTGCAAAATTCTTCCCAGATACATAGCAGACTGCCAAATACCAAGAAATTCATGTTCTGGCAATACCAAACTCCACTCGAGTCACCTTCTCATGATGAGTGGTGAGAGTGAACTGTCAGCATCCTGGTTCCATTCACCCACATATTTACAGTACGATCCACAGTGTCTTAACAACTCTTCTAGGACCATCTGCTGCCCAGTGTTATTAACAACTAAACTCCCCCTCAGCAAATGCTAGTAAAATTTGGCAGCCCAATGCCTTTGCATTCTCCTGTGAAGCTTCAGTCACATCATGAAGCCCCATTCATATTAATTCTCACTTCACAAAACCAGGAACAGCTTCCTTCCCCTTGTTTAATACTGATTCACTATGACAGCTATAGACTTCACCTTGATTTCAAGAGCTTGGTTGAAAGCAAAACAGAGGTCTACAGGCTGCACACCAAGGAGTAAGAGGACTTTGTTCATGCTCCTGGAAATAAGGATAGGCAACTTGTTATACTTCAAAGCTTTTAAACCAAATATGTTCTTTTTTGCCCTGAAGTTAGCGGCAATTCTTTAGGAACTAAAATATATTCTCATCAGAGCAGCCTTTCACTCAAGGCAAGTTATTAAATTTTATTCCTACATAAGCAGCAGCTGTTCAAAAGTTCTGATATGATTTCCAAAACATACACAAGAAGGATTAAACACTACTATTCAATGCCTATGTATAACTCCACACCTAAGTAACCTGGATCTGGACGTTAGTTCTCTCTCCACATCAAGAACCAGAAGCCAACGCTAGGCATCTACCTTTACTAGAGGTCTGATGTTGCCCTCTGTTGAACAGATACTGGGTTAGATGGACCTTTTATCCAAGACAGCTATCATGTAGAGAAACATGCTAAGAACATTTAACTCAGTTAAAGCAGCTTGGAGTTGCAAGCGTCTCACATGTAACCCTTTCTTGTAAAGCAGAATATCAAGTGGTTCTCATACCGCTACTTCGTACTGACATCTGGATCCAGCTGCTTTTGTACACCCAACCTCTGACAAAGGAGGAAGAACACAGAAAATGAAAGGTGAAAAGGAAGTGCTTTTTTTCCCCCTCCAGTTCCACTCTGCTGCTCCTTAGTCATTCATCTAGGTTTCAATACAATTTCTCTTGTGGTGGCAGGGCCCTTGACACAGCTGAGAATGCACAGGCTTTCTGGTAAGTGTCTATTTCTGCAAATGATCTCCAGGATTATTTCTCTTAAAGCTTCTGTGGAGCACTGGAAAACAACAGGAATCCTCACAACTTTAAAAGTAAACAAAATCAGGTGTTTGCAAGATTACATCTCCATTTGCTTTTCATCTAAGATGAAATCTAGTCTGGTTTTTTGTATTTAGTAGGTACCAACATTAAATCAAACATTTCTAAAGACACTCTTAATAAAAAAAGACCCATATAAAATTTCCTTTACAAAATAAAACTAAAATAAAAAACATTTTAGACAAGGAAGCTCAGATAAAAAAAAAAAAACGTGACAAGAGTCAATAAACCACCCAACTGGACAAGTAAAATGATTTTGTAAAAATATAAGTCTCCATGAGAGGAATATATGGTATGTAAACATTTCAATTCATGTATACCTTAACACTG